CCACTTAAGAATTAAACATGTAAATACACATTTAAACAGGTTTCATTCTGAGCTCTTCACGCTCCAGTTTAAGTCCAGATACATCTGGACAGCAGTGCCAAACGGATATCCCCCATGATGCACCACTGGGGGACGGACTTCCTCCTCTGGGGGCCGTTGTGGTTGGTTGGTTGGGCTTTTTCCCACTCAGAAAACGGGCCAGCTCCATAAATGCTCCGAGTCAGCATAATTTCTATGTCTTTATCTTTATTCTCTGATCTATTTCCCATCAGACCAGCTCAAGATCACCAACTTGAGGGTGAACTTCACCAAGCTTCACACGCTGGGGGACACCCTGCTGGACCCCCGCGCTGAGATCAAGGAGAAGTACTACTACGCCATCTACGAGCTGGTGGTGCGCGGGAACTGCTTCTGCTACGGCCACGCCTCCGAGTGCGCCCCCATCCAGGGCATCCGGGAGGACCGGGAGGGAATGGTGAGGGATTCAATCCAATTCAATTCAATTTTATTTCTATAGCTCCACATCACAACAACAGTTGTCTCACAGCGCTTTCCTAACAGAGCAGGTCAGACCCTACTCTGAAGTTAATTACAGAAACCCAACAATTCCCACCATGAGCAAGCACTAGGCGACGCAGGCAAGGAAAAACTTCCTTTTAACTCATTGGCTGCCAAAGACATCGATAGAAGTCAATTCAAATACAACCGTTGACTGCCAAAGCGTCTATAGACGTCTTTTATGTTTTTCAACATGAGTGGCTGGGGGACGATCTGCTAAAGCTTGTTCGTAAATATCGGCTTCTAGACAGAGTATGTAGTAACAGATTGACCCTCTAGGTGGCAGTGCCACTTTTGATGGGAGATGAGCATAGACTGTAGGCAAATAAGAAAAAGGTAACGGTTCGCTATGAGAGAACATGTCACCGGTGAGACGCAAGTCGAGGAAGAACAGAATAAGGTAGAAACAACTTTTTTTTCCTGATGAAAGAAGAGAGTCTACTCTTTCTTTTGGTGTGTTCGGTGTTTACATAGTCAAAGCACAAACTATTCAGTGGCTCTTGAAAAATCAGTCAAAATGCTCAAAAAACTCAGTATGGGACTCTGTTCTGAAAATGGCTGGCAGTCAATGAGTTAACAGGCAGAAACCTCGAGCAGAACCACGGCTCACGATTCCCGCCCAGAGCACGGAAAGCAGACGCACCGCTTCCTGATTCTCCCCTCCCCCCCTCGCTCTTCCTCAGGTCCACGGCAGGTGTGTGTGTAACCACAACACCAAGGGTTTGAACTGCGAGCAGTGTGAGGACTTCTACAACGACCGGCCCTGGAGGCCGGCCGAGGGCCGCAACACAAACGCCTGCCAGAGTCCGTCCGGTTCTCCACACTCACAGCGCCCTCTGCAATTATTGGCACCCCTGTTTAAGATGTGGTTGAGGACTTCTAAAAATTCTCAATTTACATTTTTTTTTTTTTAAATCCAAATGCAAAAAAAAGACAAAAATCCAACTTTTTATTTAAGTACATTACTTTGGTGGTAAAAATAAAATCACACATTTAGAAAATAAAAAACCTGAAATCATGTGTCCCACAATTATTGGCACCCCTGTTTAAGATGTGGTTGAGGACTTCTAAAAATTCTCAATAAAAAAATTAAAAAAATAGAACCCAAATGCAAAAAAAAGAGAAAAATCCAACCTTTTATTTAAGTATATTACTTTGGTGGTAAAAATAAAATCACATATTTAGAAAATATAAAACCTGAAATCACGTGTCCCACAATTATTGGCACCCCTGATGTTAATACTTTGTACAGCCCTCTTTTTCCAACAAGAAAAGCCCTCTTTTTCCTCCTATAACATTTCACCAGATTGGACAACTCAGAGAGAGGGATCTTTGACCATTCTTCTTTACACAATCTTTCTAGATCCTCCAGAGTCCTGGGTCCTCTCTATGCTCTCTCCTCTTTAGCCCCCCCCACAGGTTTTCCATTGGGTGGAGGTCTGGGGACTGAGATGGCCATGGGAGGACTTTGAGTTTGTGACTGATTAACCTTTTTTTGAGTCTAGATTTTGCCACGTTTTGGATTTTTCTCTCTTTTTTTCCATTTGGGTTCTACGTTGTTTTGAAAAAAAAAGAGAAGTTTTAGAAGTCCTCAACCCCATCATAAACAGGGGAGTAAAACTCACATCAGGGGTGCCAATAATTGTGGGACACATGATTTCTCGTTTTCTATTTTCTAAATTTGTGATTTTATTTTTACCACCAAAGTAATGTACTTTAATAAAAGGTTGGATTTTTCTCTTTTTTTGCATTTGGATTCGATTTTGTTTTAAAAAAATGTAGAATTTTTAGAAGTCCTCAACCACATCTTAAACAGAGGTGCCAATAATTGTACGACACATGATTTCACGTTTTTTATTTTCTAAATTTGTGATTTTATTTTTACCACCAAAGTAATGTACTTTAATAAAAGGTTGTATTTTTCTCTTTTTTTTGCATTTGGATTCTATTTGGTTTTTAAAAAATGGAGAATTTATAGAAGTCCTCTACCCCATCTTAAACAGGGGTGCCAATAATTGTGGAGTTCCCTGTATCTAGACAGGTGCTCTGTGTGTGTTTGCTGACGGGGAATGACCTTTCCGTGCAGAGTGTAACTGTAATGGCCACTCCAACCGGTGCCACTTCGACATGGCGGTGTTCCTGGCCACGGGGAACACGAGTGGAGGAGTGTGCGACGACTGCCAGCACAACACGATGGGACGCAACTGTGAGACGTGCAAACCCTTCTACTACAGAGACCCCAGCAGGGACGTGACAGACCCAAGAGTCTGCATGGGTGAGCATGGGCATAAACCTCCAACCATATAAGATACAGACCGATGTTATAAGAGGTTTGATTAGCTCAAGACAGACCAGAATGAGGAAAAAACGACTTATTGTTTTCATTTGACAGGTTTGCCAAGGATTACCTTAACCCTTTAAAGCCTGATCGAAGAATGAAACAAAACAGGAAATTACTTCTTTTTTTTTTCAGTCTTTATTTGGCCTTTTAAAGAAATATGTAAAAAGAAAAAACAAA